TACATTCGGTTTCTTAACCACCTCCTAAAATTATACATTTACCTTCGATTCCCTAAAGTAACCCTTGATGCTTTCGGTCTCTACCACTTAAGTTTATGGTTACACAACATCTGTGTTTATGATCTTGGATTCGATTACCACGTTCTAAGTGAAACCCAAAATCCAATACCTAAAATGAATTGACGGTGAGTGATATACTCAAGTTGTAACTTGGAAATCTCATTTTGTTTTTGCGTGATCTTTTATGAAATCGTCTATACCTCAGACATTTCTTCCCAAAGAGGTCCAGTTTATTTTTTTTGAGATTTCTGTTTTTCCCATGCTTGTCACAAGATAATTCCCACCTACCTGTTCAACAGATCATCTCGGTCTCACAGGTACCTCTGCCAATACTCAGTTTTATGTTGAGACTTGATGTTTGGTTAGAGGACAGCCACCCAACAGCCTATGATCAAAAGATGCCTTTCATTGTTTATTGACAGACAATTGATCGTATTTCTCGGGAAACCACACAAGCACTTCAAGTCTCTCTTGGCTTTGAAGGTAGTGATTCTTTCTCGGAATCCTCCGCCTTATGTCTTCTTCATAGGCATCACTCACATCTCAAACACCTTTGATTTATTTCTTTATCTTTCACACTCTTATGCACGAAAATTAATTTTTCCAACATTCTTATTGCTGTTTGGTATGTGGTTTTAAGTTTCAGTTGTAACCAAACAAGGACACAAGGAATTTCAAACGGTACGAAGATTTGATTTGGGCGCGTGAAGTTGATTCGTTTCACACCCACGTGTGCTGACGTTTTCCTGGGATACACCATAACATCCAATCGCGCTTTTTCAGGCAACGTTTTCGTCCCATAATCATCACGATTTTCTCTCTCCAGGGGACGGTATAAATAGGGGTGATCGTGTTCTTTGTCATTTACCAAACACGTATCTTCTCTCTCTGAAAAAGTTTCCACTGTTCATCTTCTTCTTCGATTCAACAATGGTGACTTCTTCTTCTGCGCACGATCAAACTTCCACTTCATCTTTGCTTTCCATCAAGCCTAATCAGAATATGATTATCGAGATGACTCCTTTTTTGTATGATGCGTACATGCTCCATGTGGTGGAATGTCTGAAATATTCCCCATTGTTGTTGGCTCTCACGCAGGTGGAAGCGGTTCCGATGTCCCTGCTTTCTCAAGTTTATACATCAGCAAGTTATGATAAACACAAAGATCGTATCTACTTCACCATCCATGACAAGAAAACCTCCATCTCCAAAACCAAGTTTTGTTCTCTTTTAGGGCTTGTTGTCGATTCATCCGTCATCTCACTAGATTTTGTCTCGACTGCCCATCTTTTCTCGATGATGTACGAGATGGGTTATACTGATGTACTTACGACGATCGCAAAGGTCAAGAAGTCCTGTCTCCCTTCGCAGTGGAATGGCTTGCTCACCCTGTTAATCAAGGGTTTAGCGGAACGCTGTGGCGGTTCTGATACCACGAGCAAAGGATTTCTCACCATTCTCTATGGTCTTTACAATGGCATCAACTTAGATTATGGCTCCATAATCTGGTCTCAAGTCGTTCAGAGTCTTAACACCACAACCCGGTATTCTGAGATCTCCTGCGGACGTTTCTGGACGCTCATCACAAAGAAAGCCATGGATTCTCTGGAAATCCCCGTGATGAAGGATGCTCTTCTGGCTTCAATAGCTTATTTCCATACTAAGAAGATTATTGTCTCCGACCCGAGTAAGTTTCTACATTATGGATTAATTCCTGAATCCATGTACAGGTGTGTCACGCCTCATAGCAAGGTCATGGCCGATTACAGCACCAGAACTCCTCTGCCTCCAAGGGTTCTGACTGACGAACAGAAGGCTGCCTTGGAAGCCCTAGATCAACCCGCAAACCGTGGCAAGCGGGCTGGTAAAAAGGAAAAAGAAGCGAAGAAGGAAACAGAACCGAAAAAGGAGAGAAAGCCAAGATCCTCTAAGCGAAAACATGATGCAGAAGAACCCTCTCAATCAAAATCCAAGAAGATTAAGAAGATGGCTAAAAGGGCCAAAGGATCCTCTTCTCCTGGATCTGCTCAAAATGAAACACCAGAAGCAGAGGCTGCCGCTCCTCATACTTCACCAAAAGAGCCAACTCCTGCTCAGTCTCCTCAAAAACCATCCTCTCCTACAGATACTTTATATTCCCTCTCCACCAGTATCTCCCAAAGTCACCAAACTACCTACTCCTCCACCTTCTCCTAAAATTCCTACCCCACCCCCATCACCGAAACAGAAGGTTTCACTTTCTGTTCCTATCATCATCACTCCCACTACAACAGAACCAACCTCTTTACCCACCTCAACCATTCCTTCCTCTATCACTATCCCTACATCTTTGATCCCCACTCCAATCATCACCGAATCTGTTACTACCACCTCTTCCCAACCACTAGTAACAGTCAATGTATCTGATACAGGGGCTACTACTGTGGTTGAAACACCTGTAATTCACATCCCACCATTACCTTCTCCATCCTCAACCTCTGGTGCTACTTTGGGTGGTGACGATGAAGAGTATGATTCTCTTTATTGTAGCCCATACCGGATTCCCACTGATACTGATGCAGATACCCCCATTACCAGTCAGCAGCTTCAAGACATTCATGATAAACTCGATAGTTTGTTGGCTGATAATAAAGCCTATGGGGGTGTGGTGCTGAAAGCCTTCATCGAATCTGCAATCAAGACGTATACTGATGCTTTGGATCGCTCCACTGATGCTATTGACAAATCAGCTGCTTCGTGCTCCAAAGCCACAAAGGAAGTCTCTGAGGTTATACACACAACTCAGATTTTTCTCGATTCACTCAAAGCACATGCTGATGCTAATGCGGACAAGTATCAAACGTCTGTGGACTCCTTTTCGGCTACCCTTCAGGGTGAAACTTCCAAGTTCGAGGCTCTGCGTGCTGACCTCAAAACTGAATCCACCTCTTTTCTTCAATCTTTGGATTCACGTTTTGCTTCTCTAGCAGCAGAAAGTACTTTAAAAGAGGATCTTGTAAAGCATCAGGTAACTATTGACCTTCAGAAGATACAACTGGCCCAGGCACAACAAGAAATCTCTTTATAGAAAACTCAGCGGGCTGTTCTTCAAGGTTGTGCTGGTGATGTCAAGAACATGTTAACTAATGTCCTCGAAACTCATGATCCCTTTCTTACCCTTACCATCCGACAGCATCTCCAGGCCAAACTCCTTCCTGCGATCACTATTCTGAGCGAGATGAAGGGTGTCTCGGAGAAGCTTGTTCTTCCGAGACAAGGGGGAGAGGAGAGTATAACAAAGACAGACCCGAAGGATAATTTAGCTTCGGGTTCTGGAAAGCAATTACTTGTTGAGAGCGAGTCAGACACTGATGAAACTATTGCTGAAGCTCTTCAACGAAAGAAAAGAGATAAAGAGCTGGATGAGACTCTGAAAATCGCTCGTGAGGCAGAGGCCAAAGAAAGAAGAATCAAGGAGGATGAGGATGCCTTAAAGGCTAAGAAGACTCTGTTTCCAGAATGGGACAGAGACACACTCATTAATCAAGCGATTGAGTTTCCCTCCATGTATTGGTTGGAACCGATTGCATCTTTTGAGTGTGAGAATACCAAAGACTCGCAGTTTGACATGCCGATCACACGAAAGGCTTTTACATTTCATTACTTCGATGTCACTGCTGATGTCCCTCATCCAAACTTAAAGGTTGACAAAGAATTGATAGATTTTTATTTGAAGTATGGTCAACCACAGTACTTGACATGGAGTGCACAAAAGATTGTAAAGGTCAAGGTATTGAAACCAACACAGGCTGGGAAATTTGTGAACGTTAATTTCAAAGTCAACAGAGGAACGGCCAACACAGAACATTTTATTTCTCTGGCAGATCTTCCCAGTCTGAATCCTCATGATTGGATTTTGCTATACAACATTCTTCTCTCAAATCAAAGGGAGTATGAACCGATTCTGAAACATCTCAAAAGAATGTTGGCTTCCTATATCCATGAGCTTACCACTATGGATCAGGAAATAACAAAGATTATGAACAAGAAACCGACCGTCAAGCCTACTTCCAAGACAGGAGATGTGCACAAAATGAAGTTAGGGCAAATTGACTCTTCAAATCTGACGGTCATGTTCACAAGGGGCGATAAGCACAAGTTTCTGTTTGCTTTGGTAGACAAGCATCTGTTTTCAACAGATTGCATGGAGCATATCATAAACATCATTCACCGATGCAAGCAGAACTCTACAGCAGACAAGAATAATTTTACAGATATGCTTCGGTGGTATATCACTTTCAGGCATCACATTCTAGCCATTATACCGAGGATATTTGAAACGGTGAAGAAACCATCTGCTGTTAAAAGGGAATGAAGCCTCTGTGCCAAAGATGCAAAGGGGGAGATTGTTGAAGATTAATGTGTTGCGTCTTGGGCCCTTTTGTTTTACAACCGGATTGGGCTTGTCAATCTATGTTTATCTAGATTAGCCTCCTTTTTCTTAGATAAACTGTTAGGGTTTTAATATAAATATATGCATGCATGTATGCGTATATAGTAGTGTTGTCGTCATTCTCATTGATTACTGTAAACCCTAAAATCCTCTACAGTTGATGTTCTTTATCGAGCTCTCCTGAGGATTGTTTATTAATCATTCGACACCTTTTGATCCATTTGCTTGTTCTTATTGTTTATCTGGTTATTTCTCTACCTGTTTCATATATCTAATCGATCTTCAAGTTTATTTTAAACTTATCAATTCCTTCAACTCTCTGAGTGTATATCCTTTCCATCACAAATAACCTAATCTCCTCCAGCATAGTGATTATAGGTCTCCTTCTAGCATGCCTAATAGCAGAATTGAAACTCTCACTGACCCCATTCTCCACAGCATCACAATCTCTTCCTTCTTGAAAGAATGCCTTAGACCAGGTAGTAGGATCTCTATCTATAAGGTAATCTTAAGCATGAGTATCAATAGATTTGATCTTCTCCATTACACCTCTAAACTTCTCCATAGTACTAGCCCTTACAGCCCTCCAAAATAACTTTAAGTATGCTTGACCAGTAAACCTTTTATTAAAATTGGCCACAATGTGTCTAGCACATTGCCTATGTTCAGCTTTTGGACATCTTTCCTTAACTACTTGTAATAACCCCTACAAATCACAACATCATTATAAGTGAAAAAGCATAAAAATGACCCAGTACTAACCTTGTGTCCATCAGAAATAAGGGTAATGCCTGCACCAAGACCACCATTAATGTCTTCCATAAGCAAATCTATGAACCACTTCCATGTTTCTTTATTCTCAACACATACCACATCCCATGCTAAAGGGTAGATGTGGTTGTTTGCATCTCTCCCAACAACTGAAAGAACTTCTCCTCTAACTATACCCTTTAAAAAGCAACCATCAAGCCCAATTACAGGCCTGCACCCTTCTAACCAACCATCCCTTACAGCTTTGAAACACACATAAAACTTGGAAAACAAAGTTGTGGAATCTGGCATGACGTCTACATCCAATCACACAGTAGACCCAGGATTTGACCTGATAATTTCCTCACCATATGACCAAAATCTCCCATAATGTTCAATTAGACTTCCTTCAATCTCTTGTAATGCAAATTTCTTTGCATTTCTGCATTGCCCCACACTCACATTTATGTTGAATGTTGTTGACACTTTAGCTTTCATCTTCCTTGCACTTATTTTTGGGTTCTCTATAATTTGACTCATAAAATGTTTCCTTATCCATATATAAGTTACAATTGACCCAAACTTAAACACCCTACAACAATTATGTTCATTCACTAGAGATTTGATCTGAAAAGTCTTTTCTTTACTCATCCAGGAGGCCCATAGTCTGAAAGGGCAAGATGGTGACTTATTCTTTTTGCAACATTTCACTAACAATCTATTAGAGTCATTTTTTTCAAACCATAGATCATACCCATTAGCAACTGCATAATTGCTTAACATATGTTTAAGCTCAGTAAGGTTAGAAAATCGCATACCTATAATTGGTTTCATCTGATCCCATGGTTGTCTCTCATCATACACAGGGTACTAGGTTGGCACGTATTCATCATCTTGATCTTCACTCTATGTAGGTTCACAAAGGATTTTTAAAAATCTATCATGTGCAGTTTTGTTTGCTGGAAATGGATAGGTAGCATCATCTTCTTCATGATCAACAGAATATGAATCTTGAATAACTGAATCCTTATCTTCATCTAAGTCTTCGTTTTCACTTTCACTTTCCTCAGCCTCAATCCATTCGAAGATAGGTTCATTATAGTGATCCACATATACATTCATTCTCTTGTCATTAGCATACGCCAAATCCAAAAATTCCTTGTAATCAGCCTCGTTCACCAGTGTATGAATTCCAAGACCTAAAGACTCTTGTGGAAGGCAGAAATAGATGTCTTTGCTTCTCGATTTGGTGAGCTTGTGAAGGAATTCCATGAATTGCTCATACCCAAACCCACTGAAGTCAACATCTCGCACTGATGCTCTGTCGAGATCAAAGTAAACTAAGGGATTGGGGGCAAACTGACCATTGTAGTGGAAATCTACTACAATGAAGTTCTGATCAGTAGGATTTGGAGATGATGCCATTCTACAGAACGATTGAAGGAGACGAAGGATCGATGGAGAATTTTGTACCCTAGTCGAGTTTAAGGACTAAATGAGACTTCAGGGTGTGGTTTAACGAGAAGGAAACGAAAAATCGGGGCCTACATGCCACCTCTTTCGCCACGTAGGATAAAAAATACACGTAGGATCAATAAACCCTTTGAAACCGGCTAAACCCGGTCATAAGGGGAAAATTAGCACAATTCAACAAGTTAAAGGGTTAATAGAGTACGAAAAAAAGTTCAGTGACCAAATGTGATCAAATTCAAAAGTATGTTACCCTCTCAAGTCATTATCCCTTTCTAAAAAATATCACAGACAATATACAAGAGCACCTTCAATAAATCATGACCATACATTTATAATTTTATATCCTATTTTTAATATTTAGCCTTTTTTAATAGGTTATAAAACAAATCCATAACCTACCAGGCTACCATAGACAATTTCAAACGATCTGCTCAATAAACATCTATGTTGTTATGTTATTATTCACGTACAAGTTTTATATCTGTTTAATATTTAAATAAATAATTTTGAACTTCAATTTGGATTTCTCTTATAAAATCTGAAAAATAACCCAAAGTAAATAAATTATTACAAAATCAACCATTTAACAAAATAATAATAATAATAATAATAATAATAATAATAATAATAATAAATCAATCAATCAACGTGAAACTTATGAAATTCAAATCACAATAAAATTCATATTCTAAATATGTAAAAGAAATTAATATGAATAAATAAGTTGATAAAATAATTCATTATTAATTTCACAGATATATCTTAGTTTAATCTCTAATGAATTGCTAGTTTTTATTTTGTTACTTGTCGCATTCAAAAAACAACCGTTCATAAGGAACCATGATTCTCAATCAAAATAGATATCTTTTCACCCGCATTCGGATAAATGTCTTCCGCTCAATGTCACATTAGTCTTCAAATAATCAAGGAAAGAGCATATGCTAACAGTATGAATACATAAAAATGTTGGTGATTTTATATCACTAATGTTATTTAAGTGTAAATGGGTTAATTTTTTGATCAATGTCACTTTGACAATTATTGAACAAATTGGTATGGTGCGGAGTGCACATTTGTTTAATTTTATCTTTGTTAAAAGTATATTGCTATTTGGGGGCGAAACCTCTGAACCAAAGGGGGTCCGGAGACAGTGCCCCTGGGAGCGGGGTCCAAGGGGCAAAGCCCCTGACTGGAGTCAATTTTTTATATATGTTATATTACTATATTAAAAATGCATAAGAAATCCGGATTTTTGGTAAATGTACCCAGTTTTGTGATCCATATTCTAGACCCGAATTTAAGTTAGTTTATGACCGTTTTTTGGACAGTTTTAAGACATAAAACTGTTATGGTAGCTTTAAGATAGAAAGTTTTTCTGGTTATATGATCATTTTCGAAATCAGTTGTTGGTACTCTTTTTCTTCATAACATCTTGAACATTCTCTCTTCTGTTTCTTAAGTTTCTGAGTACAATCCGATTAAAGATTGGGAGTACCATCCAAATACTTTAATATGAAAGTGTTTAACATGATTCTCAGAATTTCCAAACATTTCTATAACCCAATATCTTACAAAAAATCAGCATTTAGCAAATCAAAACCATGATTCTCAATCAAACATAACTAAGAATAATCAAAATCGAGTCAATTATAGCACCACGGTACAAGTAGCATGAAACTCAAATGCTTAACAAGACCAGAAGTAAATATACCCAACTTTGAATATTCTCTCTCATACTTCACTAAAACTCACAATCTTGAAAACTCACAGTCTTCTTTCCGAATGAACATACAAATCTTTTCACCCGATTTATGATCGAAACAAGATCATAAAATATCGAAGTGGCCATGAGAATGGGCTCGTATTATATATATATATATATATATATATATATATATATATATATATATATATATATATATATATATATATATATATATATAAACTCCTCATCGAAACAGAACAGTCAAAAAATAATAACAATAGGCCAAATGACTTTTTGTTCCTCTTTTAGCTCGGAAATAAAATATTGGATTGTCCATAGTTGTTCATCTTCTCAATGCTCATAAAAATCCAGGCCCATCCCAGGGTGAGCGAGATGGGCGATCTTCTAGGGTTTATCTTTTACAAGAGCCAATTTTTTTTTTTTTTATAGAAATTGTTATATTTAGAAGATAGTACATGTAATTTTCTTTAAATTATTAAGTTATTATAAAAAGGGATAATGTCACTATAGCACAATGAACTTTTGTGATTTGTCCGACTTGACCAATTATGTTTTTTTCTTACTCATAAGGTCATGTAATTTTTACTGTACATGTCAATTAGGTCATTATCGTTAGTTTTTAACCATTCCTCCGTTAACTAGTTATCTAAATTACATGACTGACCCATATGGTTTAAATTTCTTTCGTAAGTGGTCGTTATCAGCCATGTTTTAAATCACTCGACTAAAACTACCACAATCCTAAAAATCTAGGGACCAAAGTGTAACATTGTCATTATTCTCCCCGTTAAATCTTGTTGAAACACGAAGCTTACCATTGGATTTCGTAAGCAACAACAGTCAAACTCGCCAATCATTCATCAAAAATTGAAGTTGATTTCGACTCCAAAAGTATATTCCCAGTACACGATCAAATCAATTGAAACATTTATATACAACCAATTTCGATCCCAGTTCACTTCTCAGTGTCGAAGCTTTAATTTTGACTTTAATTCGTTGACTTTTCAAATACAACCAAGTCGATAATCAAATAAACTATCATCTTCAATCATTCGATTTCCATCATCCCTTGGCCACAATACAATCGACTTTTAACACCATATAACGAATACAACACAATAAACCAGGTTACCTGACCCCAAGATGTTCGACTGTGATCCCAAAACGAAACCCAAATCGAGAATGAAAACCACTTCGAACTCCAATCAATCGAATAACATACATAGCACAATGATTTGACTTTCACAAATCAAAATCAACTTCAAACTTTAACTATCGACTCTAAGCTTTCGCTTTTCACAAATCGAGCCTTCGAAGTCAAAATAATTGTTGTATGTTGTTCATTCACGAAATCAAAACAATTAGATCCAAAATCAAATTGATATCAACATATCGACATTCAAAGTCGATTTCAACTCCAAATATATATTCCTTGTTCTCTTTCAACCATCGATTATCAAAGACTTTCAAAATCAACAATTTTGACTTTCTGTGTTTGACTCTTAATTGAACTTCAAGAACAGATTCGATTTCCATTAACGAACCACAACATCAAGATGTGAGCAACAATACCAGTCAAAATCAAATCGAACGACTCAACTCCATATTGAAACTGTAGTGACCTTTTGATTCCTAACCCAGGCATCGCCAAAATCAACTCCAATGCTTGACTTGATATGAAAATCGAATTAAATGAGTTAAAGAAATATATGGGCTTCGAAGTTGGATGAACAGTAAAGGATTTTAGGTTATGAAATCCAATGGTATGTGCTAACATCAAAGAAAATTTTGCCTATTATTTGGTTTGGTGCTTATGAAATCCAATGATATGCTTCGTATTTTAACCGGATTTAATGGGGAGAATAATGACAATGTTACACTTTGGTGCCTAGAGTTTCAGGATTGTGGTAGTTTTAGTCGAGTGATTTAAAACATGGCTGATAACGATCAATTACGAAAGAAATTTAAACCATAGGGGTCATTCATGTAATTTAGATAACTAGTTAACGGAGGAATGGTTAAAAACTAACGATAATGACCTAATTGACATGTACATTAAAAGTTAGATGACCTTATGAGCAAGAAAAAAAAAACATAATTGGTCAAGTCGGACAAATTACAAAAGTTCATTGTGCTACAGTGATATTATCCCTTATAAAAATCTTGATGACATTTGTGTATTTTAAGGGTTTATTTTTTTTTTCTTTCATCCTGTACCCAAAATATGTTTGGAATCGCCCTGTAACAATCTGGTAAATCTGATCCAAACACAAAAGTAATAATCGGATTCTATCAATCTACTCAAAATCATCTCTCACAAATAACTATTGAATGCCGAATCATGAAAAATAACTCTCAAGACAATAAGTGTGGAATCTGTGTAATACCGAAAGTGATTGCGAAAATTGACCCACTATCAAAGCTTCAAAGATATGTTTCGAAAATGTAATTCTGGAATGTATCAAAACAATCTAAGCGTCGAATATGTGTAGAAACATCTCACATGTCGAATCCAAAAATAATTTTGAAACGTAGCAAATATTTGCAAATTTGAAACATGTGGAGGGGGGAATGTAAATCTGTGAAACTTCATCCCAAATTAAAATGAAATAGGACATTCGAAATTGTGATCTTAAGATGAACCACGAATGTATATCTAAGCATTAAGTTCAAGTGGGTCCCATCGAAATTCAACTGTATGTCTAAGCATTTAATTCATAAGTGGACCAAGACCATTTCATCGACTAGCCAAAACGTAAATTAAAATCGAAATCGATCCATCGCCTTAAATGCCTTAAATCTCATCAACATTGAAAATTTTAGTTCGTGTTATTTATAAATTGATTATGAACATACGAGTTTAGTGGCTGATCCAGACATCATCATTGTAAGTGGGATGCATAGTATAAAACCATTATTATCATGGGGTGCATTAACTTAAAATCAATTATAATTACAAATTTTCTATATAAATTTTAGGTAATAATGCATGTTCACCTACTAAAAGCCCATGTATCTCCTGAACGGGTTATTTTTTTTGTTTACATATATGTTTACATGTAGTTATTCTTTCATATACTATTATTTACTATTTAATATGTTTGTGTTGTTTAAAACATATTATTATAACATGTTATTCAAAGTTTTCGGTGACTGTCATCTTTCATAAGTCTTTGGTCAAATATGAATATTCCGGCCAATTCTTGGTAAATCCCGAAATTTTCTT